CCCCCTTGTCCCTAACCCTAACGAAAAAAAAGAGAGAGCGGGCGAGGGGCAACCCTCGTCTGCAGCCGTGGCGAAAGAAAGAGAGGGAGGGAGGCGCACCCCCCAGCTCATGGCCCTGGCGAAAGAAAGGGGCACCCAGGAACCCACAGCGTGGACAACGAGAAGGACTGAGCCCTGAAAGCCGCAGTAGACAAACAAGCCATCGTCGCCGCAGAATGCATGCGGTGTTCGATGACTAGCGAGGCAGGTACACCTCTCAAAGTGGATGACCAACTAAAAGTGTGCAGTGATGTTGTAGGTTGCACATGGTTTTGCTTTCTGTCTTGTCTTGCAACTTCGAGGCACCCAACAAGAGGCTTAAGGGTCGAGTGGCAGGTCGACGTTGCTGCTCGGGGATCAGGCTTCAGTTCGGGATGCAGGCAGGGTCAGGCAGGCAAGGTGGGGTTGAAGTAGAAGTACACGGCAAGTGGGCCACCAGAACAGGGGCACCCGCTCTTTACTACTCAAGAGGATTTTGCCAGCCCCCACGGTGGCACACGAAGCCGTCGATCGGTCTCACCAACAACCAACAGTACACATCTCACAGCATGTTGGATGGGGAAGCGCCCTGAGCGCAGGGTGCTGGGCCTGCCAACACCTCAACCCCCAAGCAAAGCAAAGCAAAGGAAGGGAAAGAGAGGGAGAGAGAGAGAGCGAGGTTCGTTGTTTTGGTGTTCACTGGCACGTCCATCGCCCCTCACAGAGTGGAGCTCGAGTGAGGGATCAACCGTTGAACGCAGTGTGGATGACCCAGGGGGAGCGCACAAGGGGGTTGTAGTTGGTCATGGTCTTAGAAGGGGTGTTTTGCGGGAGGGTTCGGTGTGCCCACCTGGAGGGAACACAACTGCAGTCCCCAACACGGGAACAAGACAGGACATTCGCGCGCCGTTGAGGGGTTGGCTGTCATTGTCCCCAAACCCCCAGCAAGCAAGCAAGCAAGAGAGGCACGGTTGCTCCCCCTTCCCCAGCCGCGGAGAGAAAGAGAGGCACGGTCGGAAGGTCTTCAGATGTCTTCAGTCTCGCGCGGCTGAACTCCTGAAACTAAAGAGGCACGAAGTGCAAGAAAAGTTCTCCATGCAGGACGAAGAATTCACGATCACTGGCGACACCAGCAACGCTGAAGATGCAGCCTTTGACAGTCAGGCCGGATGCATGTCCTTCCGATGTCCTAAGGACCAGGTGACTCACGTTCTGCGTGCCTGTGCAGGTGGGGGCCCTTCAAGAGGCTGTCCTGGATGACTCCTTCCAGGCCAAGGGTCTGTGCCGGGGATGCGCTGCTTTCGGAGTGCCTCGTTAGGACATGCTGAATGCCTACTGCAGAGAGCACTGCCATCACTTCGAGGCTGGATTCCTCGATAGGTCCTAGACTTGTGGGCTTGTGCCGGATGCAGGACACAGAGGAGAACAAACTCATCTACACCGAGCTCTTCAACCAGTACGCAGACGCTCTGCTCGCACAGAGTCACCACTTCTGCGCCTAGGCCCCAGAAGTGTCAGAAGGGTGAGCTCGGCTCCGACTCAGGAGCTCATCGAAGGGCACCTCGAACGGCAGATGGCAAGCGCCATCCCTGGGCCTGGCTCCGAGACAATGGCCGTGATCAGCGGCTCAAGCGTTCTTTCGTCTTTCGTCAGCTTCTCCATGGCATCCTTCCTCGAAGAACTGTCCCGAAGAGGCCACCGACCTGCATCGTAGAATCGTAGACCTTGGAAAATCGCAGTGTTTGCACATCGGCACCCGTCCGTGGCACAAGCTTTTGGTACCAGTGCATGAAAGCAGGATGACGCAGGAAGCATGTGAAACGAAGCCTTGTTTCAGCATGGCAGGTGAGGATGAGATCGTTCCAGCCTTGGCTGCCATAGCAGTCTGTCAGCTTTCTTCCAAAGTCATTCTCCTTACAAAACAAGAGCAAGAACGTAGCATGACACTTGGCTCGTCATGTGACGCTGAGGATGCAGCAGTCCTTGACTTGTTGATCTCGCTGACGGACTTCATGTCTTTCAAGCAGCAGATGCTCATGGTAAAGGCCAGGGCCTTCGGGGCCTTTAGGCTCCACGCATGGCGATTTGAGTTCGTGTCAGGCCGGGGATGCTGGTTTGTCCTTGTCTGGGACTGCTTCACAAATCCATGTCGACGAAGACGAGGAAGGCATTCTGCCCATGGGCCCGCCCAGGTCTGGCCTGACTAGACAGGGAAGTTGCAAATCAGGTGAAGCTCGTCCAGACCTTGATGGCTTGCTGACCGTCTCACCAGCCTCGCCAAGCATGGCACCCAGTCGGTAGCAAGCGCCAAGAGATGTGGCATTCCTACTGGAAAGCTGCTCCACTCCACTCCCAAGGCCAACGTGCTCCAGGCTGAGAATTGGCTCTCACTGGGCCCATGGTTCTGAGAAAAAATGCAAGTCGGGCTTGGGAGCATTTTCGTCGTCACGTCGTGTGTGGCTCGTATCGGCATGCGAAAGCTGGCCTGAGCCATTTGGATATGAGCACGAACCGACAAGACAAGAGAAGGCATTCAGTGCATCATCGAGTCGAATCCGAACGTCATTCCTGCAGAAGATGCCTACCGTACCATGATTGATGCAGCATGCAGGCAATCAGTAGCAGGCTGCCTCCACAAGTGAACCCAGACAAGATGAAACATGCATGACCAAGGCCGTGCAAATTACCGACACAAGCAGATAGTCTCAACGCAGGTGGAGTGACCTCGATCCATCTTTCCTTGCGGGTGGCGGCGGCAGCGTCATCGTGTCAGATGCCAAATGCTTCGGCCTGTGCAAACTGTCCTCACGCTACTAGGAACCATTCCGGGCAGCGCCGTTGGGCAGCCCAACCGTGTGGATCCATGGGACTCGCCTAGCATTGCTGGTTCCGCGTCCTCGGAAAGCTTAGAACGGTCTGCCTTGCCGCCCCTGACCATTGGAGGCATTCAGTTTTCACGAGAAGATGATATCGAGAATATGGAGAAGCTCTCCAATCTGTTCGGACAAGTGTTTTACACGCACGTGCTGTCACCCGGAGATTCTGCTGCTGCACAGGCGTGGCAGGCCTTGTCCTCGGACATCTGGACGCTTGTGCAGCATGCAATGCAGACCCCAGCCATGGCCCTCTCCGTGGCAATGTGCCTGTATAATTATTACTGGTGGGAAGGTCCTCACAACAACCAGCCAAATGCAGTTGCCGGCTATCATGCTGCGGAGCTGATGTATTTAGCTGTGAGGCATGCCCGTTGTCACGAACCGCATTTAAGCGCACAGGAGTTTTACATCCTGCAATGCCATCTGCGCTGGCGCTACCTGCTAATGCTTGCTGGGGAAACCGGCCGCTACCTGGCCATGCAGTCTCGCAGCATCCAACATGGGAGCCAAATGCTGTCACGGGCGCGATCCTGGTTCCGCGAGATGCGCCAGCTGCCCAACGTGGAACTCTTGCATGGGCTCAGCACCCACGAGGTCAATTTCAACATGGATTACTACCCTGCAGCCACCATGCGATTCGGGCCTGTGTGGCATGATCCCCTGAAAGTTCTGCCAGTTGCCAGTGTTCTAGAGGCAAGCTATCCCATCATACGCTCGGAACTGGAGAGCATCCTGCGACAGGGGTCCACATTCGAGAACCTTGACCAGCACACACGCAATGCTGAAACACAATTTGGCCCCAGAGGGGACGACTGGCTGACAGCATACCTGTTCAGGAAAGGGGAGCCCATTCCAGAAGTCTGCGCGCATGCACCTCGCACCTGCCAGATCCTTCAGCAACGGCCCGAAATTGCAAATTGCAAAATGGGAGGGTCGGGGGCAGGCTTTTTGCGAATGAGACCTGGTGGCAGACTCAAGCCACACTTTGGCAACGCTCCGCGGCTGAGTGTGCACTTGGGTTTGATCGTACCTGACGGGGAAATCTCAATGTACGTCGGATATGAAGAGCTGAAGTGGCAGGAAGGGAAGGTCATCGCTTTTGATGACACTTTCATCCACCAGGTCCTCCACAACGGTGTCGAGCCGAGATATGTGATGAACCTCTGGATGTGCCATCCCTGCGACCCTTACGATGGCAAACTTCCCGGGGAGCAAGTGCCGGAGTACTGTCGCGGAGGCCTGGGGGCTATGCATCGCCTGGGCTTGCAGCCGCTTCCGCCAAAATTCTGAGACCAAAGCGTCAACCTGAGCCTGCAGTTGAACTCCGCACGTCAATGGCACTGCGCGGGAGTGTAGCATTGTGGGCAAACTCTTTGTACGGTCATGGAAGGATGGTGGCGCGGGCTTCTGGCCTTTGAGGTGATCCATCTTTTCTCTCGCAGGGCCTCAGTTGCCATGCGAAAAATTGAGAGAGCTGGCCGGAACGCTAGCAAGGAAAGATGAACAGGCGCTGAGCAGATCAGCAGTAACATCTATTAAAGCAGCCTCGAGTCCGCAAACTAATGCATCTGCTCATGTAATGCAGTGACACCGCGTGCAAGATTCGGTTTGACCTGTGGTCGAATCTGTGAAGGTGCCACTAGGCGCAGCATCGCTGGCCTGATCGCAGACTGTACTGTAACTGTAGAGCCTAGAGCCGTACGTGGCAGAGTCCCATGAATGAGTGGCTTGGCCCAAAGCATCTTGAGAAGGATGTAAACCCGGAGCGCGCCGTGACCAGGGCGCTCGGGTCTTCGGAGCTCGTCAGCACCTCTGGGTTGTTTCCAGCTTTTGCCGGTACTTGTAGCAGCGATTCCACTCAAGGTGATGGAGGACACCCCCTATGACAGCCTCACGCGAGAGTGTCTCAGCTGTGGGATATATCCGGAGCAGCTTTTTGGCCGAGTCCATCATGAGGCAGCAACAAGTGCTTGCGGAAGTCACACTAAAATACAACCATACCAGCAAGCGTCCCCGAAATGGCCACTATCACAGGGAGCGTGGGCCAGGATGCAATCCTAAAATCGTGGAACAATTATCAAAATCAGGGGAAGTACTGCTGAAGAACAAGCTCGTAGTCCACCCACCGGTTTGCCCTTCCGGAGTGCCATAGCCAGAAAGGGGGATGTTCTTGTCAGAAAGATTCTCATCCAGACTCTTCCCATGCACTTCGGACAGTGACGGCTCGGCAATCTTCCAGAATCTTCGAGGGCACATGAGCGCCATGAGCAGCAACTTCTGTCAGTGTGTGGAATACTTGGAATTGTCGGGCCCACCAACTAGGTGCTCAGAAATGCCACGCACATGGAATCACATGGAAATGGTTTCGTGATCAAGGCAAAGGCGGCAAAGTGTTTCCGCATCGCCACATCATGAAGTGGTACATCACACGCATGCGAATACCTGGCATCCGGCACCTCCTCGGATTGGATTCCAGGCATCTCCAGAAGATGGCGAAGTGGATCGTCATGCTTCGAGGTCACAGCCAAAGCTCTTATCCGTGCAAATGGTTGTACGTGCCTCGAGGCGGTGATGAATCTTCAGAATCTACAGCCGCAAAGGCTTTCTTATGCAGGTTGAAAGGACATCTGTTGCCCCAGCGCCGCCTCGCTTGCATTGTGGCTCTGTTGCAGGCAGAAGACGTGCTCCATTCCCAGAGCTGTCTCAACAGGTGGCCCCGCAAGCATGTGGCAAGTGAGTCACAGAGGCTGCATGAAGTCATCGCGAAGAAGTTTGGGGAGGGATTTGATCCATCCCGCCGGTGTCCAAGTCCAGTTCATCTTCAGTGATGGAGAAATCGCTTCTATAAGGAACAACTGATGGCAGAAGCAATGAATGGCTTGAGCCTCATGAGCGTCACGTTGCCTCGCTCGGCTTGTATCGTCCTGCCATGAGACTGGGAGGCAGCCAGGATTTGTCCAGATTCGCCACTATCGAGATGCCGTCTACCGGCTTTCCAAGGAACCCCAAGGCTCCGAAGCTCTGTTGCAGCGTTACGAGCAACGAACTGAGTCCAGCTTGAGGCAGACAGTCTGCCTGGATCCAGCAAGTCTTGCGGGACATAGCAGCGCATCAGGACCACGGCCCAGTCCCTTGCTCGCAGCCATGTGCAGAGATGTCAGTGTGTGCAGGAATTCCACAAGGAGCTCCTAGAACACGAAGCAACATCAGACAGCTTTGCGGCGTGTCTGCCTCAATCTATAGTGGCATATAGCGGCCCTTCAAGTGTGAGCATGTGCTTCTTAGGTTCACGGCAAAGATGAACGTGCTTCTGACAAACTATCTAACTGCCGCCAAAGACGAGGTGCAAGCCAGGCAAGTGGTTGCGAGATGTGCCTTCCACCTCGTGTTTAGTCTCTTTATGGAGTCTCTTTCGGGGCATTTGTCGGAAGGGAGAGCATGGAAAGCTTCTGCACTCATGCGGCCTACAAGCAGCATACGTATCTGCCGATACCTGAGCTGGAGGAAACTGGCATGGCTGACTGCACAAGATCCATCTAAGGTATGCCCAGGCAATTCTGTGGCAACTGCGAGGCTTTGCAAAAGCCAGTTTTGGCAACACACTCCAACTTGCGGAGAATTACAGGCAAGTGTCCGCGCCAACATCAAGCGCTGCTAGCCCTTAGTCAGGCAAATGCATCCGACGGCCCTCCGGCCCCTAAGCTAGGTCTCGGCCCTTGGAAGGCACTGACGTCTCGTGGTCTCCAGCGCTTTCCGTCTCACGTGATGAACTTAGCCCTGGACTGCACGAAGTCTCTGAAGCACTTGGATTGTTGTGTCTCCAGGTCTCTCGCTTTGACCTGAGCCTGAGTGGGGCGGGCGCCTTGACCAGAACGAGTTCCGGACGTCTTGAAATGCCGTCGGGCGGAGGACGAAGATGCCAAAGATTTGGCCGGCCTTCTACTGTCAATGTGTCCGTCCCAGCCTGTGTCCATGTGTTGCTCAGTCCGGTCTTGCTCGAGCAGCTTGAAGGTCTCGGCGAAGTGGCAAAGAGCTCGCTGCCGAGGATGCCTCCTCAGTTCCGACTTTTCGTCCGGCACAGGGTCACAGAGTGACATAGAATTGCAATGGGTAGCAACCGAGGCTGCAAAGGTTTGTCGCATCCTGGAAGGCCTCTTTGGGTTCCAGGCTTGATTCCCAGCAGACCCTGGGCCCTTAGCCGTGCTTAGAGATCCTGGCAGGACGCCCGGACGGTTCTGTCCCCGAGCCTACAGGAGGACCGATCGCCAAGTACCGAGGCTGCGGCTTGGGGCGCTGGATGCGAGCTTGCAAGTGCGGCTCTTCCGCTGTTCAGTGCTGTGACTGCGCGATTTGTTCGTCAGATGTCGCCAGTGTTCACAAGGATAAACTTTCGGACGCGGCAGATTGTCAAATCAAGATACTCGTAGTTGAGGTTGAGACTCTCTTCTAAGTCCACAGAAAGCCCTGGTGGCATACCCAAGCGGCCCTCGTCTGGCAGGTGGCATCGGATGCTACAGAATGGGGCGAACAGGCCGTTTGCACGGCTTCCGTCGCCAGAGTGGCTATTCAAAACCCCTGAGGTTTGCCCGGACATCCCGGACCCAGAGGGCCAACCCCAAGTCCCAGTTGTTTGGCACTTGGGAGAAGTCAACGCAACGGAATGCCCGCAATGCTCTCCAGCTTCTCACAGGGCCAGGGCTCTCCAGCGGCTTCGTCTGTCCGCGACAACGCTACAGCTTGGAATTCCTCCATCCAGGCTGTGCCACGATTCTGCAGTGGAAACAAGCCGAAACCTGAATCTTCTGATTCTTGCAGGCACCCTCATGGACAGCCCGCCGTGAAAGCGAGGCTGCGTTTTTCTAATTCTCTACGTTTTTGTTTGGCCGGCCAGTCGGCCAACTGGTTCCAACTGCAAACATGTCAGTGGCCTCTGGGAGGGCGACTGGGAGGAAGACAGAAACAGCGCTAGGCTCAGGCTTAGGTGCTGGATTCTCGACCAAATTTTCTATTCGCTCACACGCTTCAGGTCAGCGCCTTGATCCAACGAAAGGCCATTCTGCAGCCGCAGCACCATCGCCATGCTACTTGCAGAAGCAGGCAAGAAAGGGGTGCAGTGGCAAATGCGCAGCGACAGACTTAGCACTTGCTGAGTGATGCTCCTTAGCTGACTTGACTTGCTCTGTCGGCCAAGTCGAATACGAGGCCCGCAGATCTTCCACAAGCTTTTGGTGCAGTTTGCCTGCTGCCCATGGCCAGATGAGCTGCCAAGACGGACTAAACGGGGCTCTGCATGGCTCTGCAGGTTGATCCCGAAAACGAATTCCATCCGGCTGATAAGCGGCCGTGCGTGCTCCGGCGGCAATAGTCCATAGATCCTGGAGTGCTTCGCTCTCCCGCTTTTGAGCAGTCGTGAGAGCCATCCGTTTTTTTGTTTAACTTCTGGGTGAAGCTCTTCCTTTTCCAAGGCGAAGCTATTGGCAATAGTTTGCCATGATGGTCCTGCTCTCACTCCACGGGACCCATAACATGTCGTGGTCTTGCAGCTGATTGCAGCTGAGGCCTTACCTCATCGGATGAAGCTGTGCGCCAGTCTGCGCTCGAGGCATTGTGTGCAGAGACCCTCGCCTCCGACGCAGAAGCTAACAGGCTGTGGACGAAGCCACTTCCGACCTGTGCGCTGTGTACGAAGACCCAAGCTGAGAGATCATCAGCTGTGTACTGTACATGTCAGTGTTCAAACGATCCGTCGTCGTTGTGGTTGTGCAATCGTAGTCGCAGTCACATTCGTAGTTGTAGCAGCAGTAGCAGCTGCAGCAGCAAGAATAGCAGGAACAGCAGGAGCAGCAGCGGAGCAGATTATCATCTACTACAACCGGACAGGCTGGGTCCCAGGTGGCTCAGGGCAGAGGTCCAACGATACCAGGCACGCGCTTTACCTCGCGCTTACCACATGCTGTGCTTCTCTGGAACGGTGAGCGGTTGCTGCTGGGCACGTTTGAAGCAAGAGACGAATGGAGACTCAAGGATGAGGCCACTTGTGCGAGGCGGTGAGTGAGGAAACCGGCTGCAAACCGGACAAGCGGGTACAAGGCCGAACTACCGGCTTGCCGCTTCGTCTTGTACAGCATCTCTGGATTGCAACGCTGTCAATGGGACTTTCCATCAGTGAGATGCAGAGAGACAGCATTGTCCCGCCGTCAGAACGTCACAGGGTCCCGACTTCACTCCCGACTTCACTGTGGCCAAGTAACTGATTGGCATGAACCCGTGAAGACAAACTTCAGTACACATGTCAAGAGAGTGTGAGAAGTGAGTCCATGAGCGAGCAACTCAATCTTGCCGCGAAACTTCGCTCTGGCAAGTTTCAGCGTTTAGATGCTGTAGCACTTGCCTAGGTCACGCACGGCGACAAGGCGTTTGCTGTTCAGGTAAACAATTTGGCGACGATCCCAGTCTGTTGATCTGAAGCACAGATGATCCGACGCCCCGCCATGACATCGGAACTGAGATCCGGCGAATCCCGCAATCCTCCGCTCTGGGTTGTGCTGCAAGCCTCTGTCCGAACCTCGTGTAAAGCTGCGCGGCTGCCTTGCGGTGTTTCTGAGCCGAGAGTCGCTCAGAGGTTGGTTGCGACACCACGGCATCGGCGGACGCTTGGGAGGCCAGGAGCGGCTACGCCGCATGTCTCAGTCGACGGCTCGGCAGCCGCCTGGAGCAAGCAGTCAGAGATCTGCTTGGTGTCGGTATGTGTCGGTGTCTCCTGAGGCCAGTAGTGGCTCACCTGCTTCAAAAGGCATGCCAGGCCGGAGCGATAGCCTGCAAAGAGCCGACTTCCGGGATTCAGCCCAGGCACACGACCGGCAGTTCACGAGGATCCTGGAGATCACGGAATACATACTGGAACAGCTCGATTCGGGTTCGTTTGACAACGAGGAGAGTCAGACGTGTCATGCGGAGTCATCGGAGTTGCCGTGCACTTTCAGGGCAAGAGGCTGAATCCCTCGCAGTAGCTCCCTTTCAACCATTTTAATTGCCCTGAACTGCAGAAGTACTGCGCAAGTACCTACGAAGCTGGATGATTTGGTACCATACGGGCTGCATCGCGATAGCCCGCGATACAACGTCTCGCATGTGTTTAGAGTTCTTACAGTACTACACCCGGCCTGATCGATGTGGTGGGCAAGTGCCGCTGCGAGATTGCAAGCGGGCGAATCTCACTTTCTACTTACACGCCATTTCCAAACCTGGGGTCCAGACATGTCCAGACGAACATGCGCGTGCTGTGCGTTTTATCACGAAACCTGCTGCCCGTCTCGCCGGCCAATCGCTGCTTCTGTTCGGGCATACTGTAAGGTGTGCAACTCTTCTCAGAGTCAATCCCGCAAGTCGAGGGCCATACGATAGGAGTTGTGCCATGCTAACGATTGAGTCTGCACTCAGTCCTGGCTATCCTTCTGCAGTCTCAGGCTCGGTTGCGGTGCGGGGACTCATTTGAGAGAGGGCGTTGCTTCCGAAATCTTGCAAACGGCTTCGCTGTAAATAGGGCCAAATAGGGCGTTCGTTCAGTCTACCCGCCTTGGATGGGAGCTAGTTCCAACATTCACTGCCTCGCGCTGCTCTCCTTTGCGTCGCGCCATGATGGACCCGCTCTGGGACATTTGCACTTTCTGCCGGCCAGAGGGCAAGTTCCGTGAAGAGTGGTAAAGGCCCATTGCATGCAGATGCAAGAGTTGCCGTTCTGCAACATGCCGTAGAAATCAACCTCCAACGCGCTAGGCGCTAGCCGTTAAGAACTAATTGGGCTCACGGCTCACATGACCGCTGTGTAACTTTAGGTAGCAAGCGCGCTGGATTTGCAACTCCTTTCCAGCAGCAACTTCTGAAATTGCCACGGCAGACACTGCAACGCACGAGCCGCAGGTCCTGTGCTTCCGACAGAAACTCGGTTGCCGGCAATTGATCAGGCATCCTGAGCGTGTGCTTCAAAACAGAATCTCCACACACTGTTTGTTGGTTTCGCGCCGCGTCTTGTCGTAACCCCGACTGTACGACATGGAATGTACGGGACGTGATCTGAACTCCGACCCGACATGGCCAAGAGTCAATATTTAGAGAATGGCGCCAACCCATAGAAATGTACATGCAAGTATACAGCATAACTTCCAACACAGGTTTCTAATTTCAAGAGGGAATTCTTGCGTCTCGGATTTGTAGTTCGCCTGCTTTGCCGGCAAGTGGCTGTTTCTGTTCACCCGATTCTCTGCTGTGCAAGCAACAATCAATCACAACGATCTTCGATGGCTCAGAGTGCCTGTTCTGCCATGATTTAGAGCTTCCGACCAGCGCACAAGCGATTATTTGGTGTTTCAATCCCCGCGCTATTGCAATGCTACATTATATTATGTTTTCAGAATATGAGCAGGGCAACAGCTTTGTTCTGTTATGCACCTACCCCCAATCTACATGCATGGGTGCATCTTCCCCAGCAGGTGTACGCTAGGATAAGAATGTGATTACAGCCCAGATTCACCGGAAGTCCCGCATGCAGACGCCACTACCTACAAAAGTACAAACCGAATTCAACAGGAGATGATGCCCACAGTGAGCTTGAAACTACTATGTTATCATGAAATCCAGCTTGACGGGCATACTAGATCACAAGTTGTTGTGCCGGTTCTTGCAAAATTCGGTGTACTACGGGGCATCTGCAGGGTCGGCATGAACAGAGCTTTCATCACAGCGCCATTTTCCAATGCGCTGGTTGACAGTCAGCATCACGGGACATTCTACGCATGGACGCAGCATGCGATTTCATGTCGATTTTTGTAGCAGGGTCATTGGATCTGGGGGCCCACCTTTTTTCAACCCCCAACCAATGTTGGTTAGAAATTTAAAAGTTAGAATGCCCCTGGATCCAGTACCGGATGGAGATATGCAGGACGATTCGATAGCACTGTCTATCTGCGACTACTATAAGGTCCACGCCAGTGTTTTAAGTTGGCAGGAGTCTATAGTATTCATGATGATGGCGCTGTGCGTCCGTGCGTTCCTTCTTCGCGGTGATAGCAAGCTTCATGTTGAAAGAGCTGGCAGCTAGCGCTGTGCGCAGGAGGTGGTATCATCAGGTGAGGAGCACAAGACGCCAGGCGCTGCAACAATCCCCGGCTTTGCTGATTCAGTGATGACGTTAACATGAAGTCCATGGAGCCTTCGGCTTTCGTATCGTCTCGTACCAGCATACCACCTCGTCACCTCTCTCTTGCGAGGCCATTCCGGGCTTGCGGCCCAGCCCGGCCCCTTCTTCGTGTGCAGCTTCGTGGGATTTTTCCTGAAGCCTGCTTCCGGAGCCCAGGGAAACGAGAGAGATCGAGGAAAGCAGAAGAAAATGCTTCGGCTACATCCTGGAGCTTCTCGTGCACGGGCTTCAGTCCCCCTCCCTCGTGCGGACATGACTTTATAGCTGCCTCAGTGCACGAGAAGGCACTTTGCCAGGGAGTCCTGCTGCGTTGCATTGGCATCGGTCTCAGCAACGATTAGGCATGACGTGCCCGGAATCCCGGAAATTTGATCTTCGAAGCTTCGAGGTTGCGAGTGTCTTGGCAAGAAGAGGCTCCAGCACCCGCCTAAGAGTTCAGTGGCTTCCTTCACATAGATTGCAAATCAGATCCCCGCGTAGGCGTTGCAGACTTGTAGGATTGTGGGCCTTGCTCTCAGACTCCCAGCAGTTCCCAGAAGCCCTGAGTCCTGAGGTTGGATCTCCGGGCAGATCCAGAGCTTCTTGCAAGGTGTTTTCCGTGAGCAGCGCGAGTACACTCCGACAACACCTGAGCGCTTCCACAGCTTTAGCTTACACTGCTTCGATCCGAGTGAAAAACACGCCCTGCTTCATAAGGGCCTTCGGAGTTGCTGTTGTGCGGCTGCTTGCCTGCGATCCTGTTGGAACGGCTTGCTTGAGTCCCAGATCTTGGCAGAGGGAGATCTCGCAGTTGCACCCATGCCGACTTCCATGCGCATGGCCGGAAGAAACGCCCATCTTATCCCTTCCCCAAGTTGAGGCACGGCCACGGACGAGCAGCGCCGGGGCCTCGGCTGTCTCTCTCTAGTTCCACAAAGGGTTTTCTCGGGTTTGGCATGGCACAAGGCTAAGTCGGCATGTCACAGGTAAGTTGGCCATCGAATTCTTGAAAAGGGTCGGGCTCTTGTGCAAGGAGCACACCTGGGCCGCGCATTCTCAAACTTGAGAAACAGCTGTGCCGCAGGACGATGCATTGTGGAAGGCAGAGTTCGACAAGGCTGAGTCGCAGCACATTGCGTCTAGCTGTCGTTGCCTCTGCTTCAGCAGGCGACCGAGAAAGTGAAGCCTTTCCTCAAGAAGGCGTCTTTCGTACGCCCATTCGACAGTGCAACTTTGCAATGGTCATGCAATGCAGGTCAACCACGCCAAGGATTCCCCGATTCAAGACGGCAAGAACAAGGCGTGGCGCACTCTGGCACAATGCAGCAGCTTTGTGCAAGCTGGCGTCAGACTAGTCAGTGGCAGGCTTCTGCCGGACCGCCGTGTCCCCAAACTATTTAGCAATGCTGTTCCATGCTGGGCGGCCTGCCCTTGGGAACCGGCCGAGGAGCGCTGGCCAGAAGAGAGAAGGAGGCCGTTTACCGAGGAATTTGTTGAAGCCGCCCTTCTTTCTCCCGTCGGCACCACCGAGGAGCATTGGAGGAACATCAGGCCAAGAAGGCCATCAGGGAAGAACAGTGATTGTCCTTTTTTCAGTGCAATTACAGTGGACTCGTATTCTGGCTTGGCAATGGTGCTCCTGTGACAGTGCGGAGCGCATGTTGGACTCATGGGGTCTTCGGATTGTAGCGCTTGGACTGCCAAGTCTGCTACCGCTAGTGCATGGTAGGACGATTTGAGCCATGTTCAGGTGAAGCCGTCGCCACGGTCATCGTCAAGGCAATCGCCCATAACCATACCGTCACCTGGACAGTCGCCTGTGCCTTCGCAGCCAGACAGCAGCCAGGCCTGGCGGTGCTAGTAGGAACCGAATTGACAAGCGCATGTGCGGCGATGGATGCAGGACGATTGGGAACCCCAGATTCAGGCTGGAGAGTGTGATGCGTTCGTCATGCCTTTGCATGGTGGAAGCTGTTACGTTCTTACTCTGCAAAATACACATGAAGACATGATGCGGAGAGGTTTTCCTTACCTGCAGGCGTGTTGAGCCCCTTCGCTGTCATCCCGGCCAAAACCGGTTAGACATCCGAACCCGAACCGGAGCACGCTAGAGATAAGGAAAAAGCAGCTTCTCAGTGGGACCTTGCCCGCCGAACGCAAAGAAGGGACTGCATGTGAGGTGAGTTGGGACAGCAGAGAAGCTCATGCATACCCTTGAAGGTCGGCAAGTTGCCCCAAACACGGCGAGCGCCATCACTGTAGGGTGTGGGAAACAGCCGACCATGGGTCCGCCCAAGCAGGATGTGACGAGGGTACAGTAATTATCCCACCATGTGGACGATTCGATGTTGTTCAGGGGCGGGGAAGGAGTGCCAGTGGACCCACGCACAAAGGCACCTCGAGGCCAAGAGGATGCAACTCCCTCTAAGCATGCATGGATAGTGCCAATGCCTTAAACAATGACATAGACTCCGTAACCCACCCACCTCCCGACAGGCAGATCCCCGAACCAGTAGTTATCTAACAGCCGTCTTCTTTGACGGACTCGGGACGAGAAAACATACGTGATCGAAAATGCACCAATACATGAATTCAATTCTGCAGGTGCACGTCACTATTGCTATCAACCCTGGTTGTTAGTTGAGGACCATGAAGTCACAGGTAATTGCTGGACTTACCACGAGCCGTTCCAGCACCATGCACTCGTCATACTTTTACTATGCGGCCCGCCTTTCTGCCGGGTTTGAGCTGTGGGGTGGGTGGGGCATACGTTCGTTAGGTCCTGCAGCTCCGCCACACCGCCCCCTCGGCCTGTGTCATGGGCAGCGCCCATTTTCGAACACGCAAGAGCTGTATTTGTTGAGTGCTTTTTATGCTCTGTCGAAACCTTTGATGTTTGCATTCATTTCGCTGTGTGTGCCTGGGACTGCGCGCATCTTTTTGCTGCATCTCCCGATCCAGCCACCCTCTTGCGAGAGACGAGGGTGCCAGCGCTCATCCGCGCTCGCGCAGCGGCAGTAGCCCCACCCGCCCAAAGCGCCAACCCCTAGATGCCAAACTGCTGGTTTCCACTGTGCTCCGGGTTGTCTATTGTGATGTCATCCGTGATTGCCCTTTCAAGGCCTTGCAGGGCCAGTGGCTGCGGGACTTTGACAACATGAAAGTACTTGTGAGAGGATACAAGGCTATCTTCGGCGATGGGCTGCAGATGCAGACGATGAAGCTTCAAGCAAGGCCGGGTTTTGTCGTGTTTTGCGGAAGCCACCATTGCTATCCTCCTGAGCCACTGTGTCTTCAGGCCAGGGAACAAGGTGAAGCTGGCCGAAAAGTGGGCAGCCGTGCAGGGGCCCTGAAGATCTGTGCAAGATGCCAGCAAAATTCCAGAAACACTGCTGAAGGATCGATAGCCCGCGGCCACAGAGGCCACGCGCAGTTTGGCAATGGTGTCGTAGAGCTGCATGTAGGCAGTGCATGTGATGGGGTGCTTGGAGTCTTGGACTCCCTGCATGAGACAAGTCTTTCATCCGGTCTGGCGTGCATCCATTTTCTGTGGCTCGGGCAGTGCACGTGAACAATTGGCGCTGCTCCCGAGGGTCATATGGACGGGTGAGTCCAATGGTCGCGCGCTGAGCATCCCAGCGCAGGCAGATGGAACGAAGCTGATGTCCAAACCGCGCAACCGTAGCTGCTCGCTGTTGTCCATGCGTTGTTTGTTGAGACTACCAGCTCAATGGGCATCATGACCTTCCCCTGTTGCTGTGCACTTCCATGGGGCACACGTGTGATCAGCACTGATGTGCTGATGAGGCAGTACTCGCAAGATCGTTTGGCACAGCGTCCAAGGTGCAGTTGTAGATGCTGCTGTGCTCGCCCAGACGATTGGAAGTGAGAGAGTGAACGCATCTTTGCGCCAAAGGTTCTACCTCGAAGGCACCAAAGAGAAATCCATCCTAAACAGCACCGAGAAAGTAAAGGCACCTCTGCCTGCTTCAGGGTCTTTGCAGCACTGCAGGGCAGAAAACCAGATCGCACCGCAGGTGAGGCTGCCCCGGACATCATCTCCGAGCCTCTGCGTTCTGGGAAACGTCATGCTTAACTACGTGTCATGGCCTCCATGGCCTCTTTGCTGGAAGACCGAGAGCAGAACTACGGCATGGGCCCAGGAGGGTTTCTATTGGAGCTATTGCCGGGGTTTGGACGACCTTTGTGTCGCTGGGTCGACACAGGTGTATCAAGCCATGCTGCATTGCTGTATTTCCGGAGCGCTGGCTTTTCGTACACGGCCATTTTCAGAAAAAAACCGCGATCTCCTTCGAAACTGGAAGGGCCTTTGCGCTGGCTGTGGTGTCCTTCCAAGGTAAGTCTCACGGGCCCAGGGTGTGGATGCAAGGCTGCAAGCTCCAGGTTTCGCTGCGGCGTCGGATCGAAGCGGCGAAGTGCACTTGGACGCCTGGACTAAACCCCGGAGAGGGGCAGAGGATTTTCCAACAGAGCGCTTCTTTGGCTTTGGGGCGGCTTCGACTTCTTAAGTCTTCTGGGGGTTCCACTACTCGCCCTACTCAGAGCGCGCTGGCTCGGGGGATGCGTCACCACACAGGAGCATCAAGTGCAGTGTGAGCGCTGCGCCGGTGAGTTTTCCAGTTTCCTAACGAGCTTCCAAAAGGAAGAATTGTTGTAAAGGATCGGCCTCTGCATCGCTCGTTCTGTGTGCAGGCTGCATCCGAGGTGTTTGTGGGCTACTTGTCTGGTTTCGGAGCCAGGCGCTGTCGCTGAAAACTTCTGGATGAAGTCTGAAGTCGGCGTTGCTGAAAGAGCCTGGAACAGCAATATGAAAGTGCTAATCTGAGCTGCGAAGACAGTTAGTGGTACAGTCAACAGTGGCATCAGAGATGCACATCGCATTCATCGCATGCAACTTCCGTTTTGGACCCATACCTGGACGTCTCATCCACAGAACGACATTAAGATCAACGGAAAGTTCTGTCGGGACAGCAGGAGCAGTTCCGGGAATGTTTGTTGGGCTCGAATTCATCGAATCTTTGCTGGCTTAGGCTTGTTGTCTCAGCAATTAGAGACAGACGTAGAGCATTACACGCCGTTTAGCCATTCGCGTCTCTGAAGCTGCCAATTCTTATGACCAGCGGCATACTCAAGCAGGGGGAATTTTGTCAAAACTTAAGACAGTAACAGGAGTAACTTCGAGCAATGACTGTTGCTGAGCTGCCCGCTCCTTTGACGAAGGGCAAGCGATGGGCGAAGAATGCGGCGGAGAGGGAACAGCAAATACACAGTGAAGCCGTTGCTATCAAGGTGCGGCGTCCTGAGTTGTTCGCAGACTTGCTCCAGAGCAAGACTCCAGCATGCCAGCGCGGGTTCCGCTTCTGCAGCTTTAGCCACTTTAGCCACCTTTGCAGTGGAAAGCCAAGAGAATCCTGTACACGTCGCATCAGGGCGCTTCGCATCGCACTTTCAGGCTTCACGCAGAGCATGTCAGCTGGTGAGAACACAAGTCCAACTCCTCGTGAGACGCGCTGGCATAGAGGCATACTGAGCCATTTCTCTTCTCCGAAGTTTATGCTCTGCTGTATACAACACCGGAAGCAAGATGTTTGCACTCTGCAAGTTGCACATCGTATGCCAATACAGTACAGTTACAGTTTCAACCATTGTGCTGAAAGAGACTCTCGAAGAGACGGAGGTTCCAACGTGCACGCGCGGGAAATAGAGAAAGCGAGGTTGTCGTGACATGTGTCCAGTCACTTTTCATTCGTGTCAGAGGTGTCAGAGGTATCAGGAGGATGAGCGAGATTTCGAGTCTCGTGTTGCAACACACGCATGTCGCTGGTCTGGAGCATTCTGAGGCTGCTTCCCGATGTGTCAGAGGAAGACATTCGATGCCGCCTGAAAGAGCACGGAGGCAAGGGAGACATTGTTCTGCAGGAACTGCTGGATGCCCAGGAGGCAAGTTTTCTGGGAGGGTTGCTGGACGAGGAGAGTCCTCCTCCAACCATGGAGGAGGCCACACCCCTTCAGGAAGTGCATCAGCAAACACAAGCGACAGTGACGGAAGAGGCAAACTCGGCACCGCCAAGTGCGTGTCGCCTCGCCGCAGACCAGATTCCAGCCCAATATGCAGAGACTGAGGCCGAGCAGGCAGAGCCGCAGGCAGAGCCGCAGAAGAGTGTGACCAAAGCTCCACAAGCCCCGAGTGTCCCGACTTGGCTGCCCATGCTTCAACCGTCAACTCCTGTGGAGCAATCTTCCAAGCGTTTGCCTCAGCTTTCATGGGTTTAGAGGGGGTTTCATAGGCGAGGAAAACATGCTGGACGTGTCACTACGCTTGTCACCCAGGCGGAAGATCCAGTACGATCGGCAGACGGACAGGCTGAAGGCGCAACCCTCGTCCTTCAGGAGGTTCTGCAGCTTTGGTATGGGGTCTCAAGCGATCTTTCTCTGGGTTTTGGATCTCCTAAAAGCTGCTTCTGCGCTTGAGCCTGTCTCTCATCCGTCAAGCTACAGGTACTGTAGTGATCTGTGATGGCTGTTCGGCAGCATTGTGGATTTCTATCGCAATGAAAATCTTGCACGATACAGTGCCATGCTTATGCTTTTGAATTCGCAGGCTGCCTTGGGCCCAGCGCCGAAGGCAGTCAGCATCCCTTCAGCACACGACCTCGATGTCCGAGGCGGCCGCTCCTAGGACTGCAGAGTGCCTTCGTCTCTGTCTGTCGCGAGGCAAAGCGCGGGAGGGAGGAGGCTGAGGTTCAAGGCCCCGCCAAGGGGGAGGCTGACGCTAGGCCGCGAGGCCGCTAGGCTGACTGAGGCTGAAAGTCCTAAGGCTGAAGCCAAGTCGACCAAAGGTGCTGAGTCTTACGTCATCATGTGCCGGTTAAGTCTAAGAAGACATAGTCCAAACTCCATACAAACTCCATAGCTTGTGGAGAGGAACCTTAAATTCTTGCCTGCACCGTTGGGCGATGTCCGATCGCGTGCTCGGACGAGCGCAGCAAGAGACGCACTGATGCTCGCATGGCTTCTGACAGCTTCGTTGACTGTGACCAGCGGCCCTGTTTGACGCCCAGCTCTGTGAGTTTGTACAGGCCGATTGAAGCGCGAGTGATGTCAGATGCGAGCGGCCACATCAAGAGTACAAGATTACTCACCAGCCATGAAAGATGCACAAAGTCTTGCCGAAGCAAAGAGTTTTCTTGAGTCTTCACCGATTCGGCCCTGCAAGTCTGACTGAGATGCGTCGCGTCGAAGTGCAACTCTGGAGCCCGGACAGCTCTCGAAACCCTCGGTTTTCTGGCCAAGAAGCCACACCACTGTACAGGTACACGGAAGTCGGGGTCTGTGAAAACACTTCTCATCCGGTAGTGCAGTTGTCTACATCTGATGTCAGCTGACTACATCAACGCTACGAGCTCTCGTGTTTTTGGTTGCGGCCGCAGCTGCTCGCAACGCGCCTTCAGTGAGTTGCATGACATCTATCGGAATCTAGCAACGGACCCGTCCCAAGGATAGGAAGATCTCAAAGACTCCCACGAGCAAAGTCGTCAAAGTCGCGTATGCATGACACCGAACTCAGCCCCCAGCATCAAGCAGGTGTCCATTACTTTTGCGCCATGAGACGCCTGTTTGGCCTCAGCAAGGAGCGCTGTCAGCCTTGCATCCATTCCCCGCACATGCATGTAAGCCAGGAAGAGCCGCCCGCACAGAAAGAAGCTCCGAGCCTTCAGGAGGCGAGAACCAGAAAACGTGCCCGACCATGCCCGACTTTTGTCTTGGCCCTGCCCAGGCTTCATCTCGCATTGACGAGCAGGCACGATGAGCGAACGGCCTACAGAATGCGCTTGGGATGCCGCCAGCAGGTGTCCAACCTTGAAGCTAAGATCAAAAAGACCGATGACGAGATCAAGACCTTCGTGGCTCAGGGGACCGCCAGAGGGGTGCGTTGTGAACGGATGTTGATTCAGCGCACGTCAGGGCAAAGCTGAACCCCGCCAGCGACTGCACCGCCAATATTGTCAGGTTGTGCCCCTTTTGGAAAACTTCCTTGGCAACCTGCTGGATTTGTGTTTATCTCTGGCTGGTTCACAGAGCCGGTCCACCATCTCGGAAGGAGCTCCAACCCAACGGCCAAGTCCAAGGCACTGCAGGCGACATGATGGAATAGGTTCTTTCACGGCATAGGAGGCTCGACCTAACGTGCCAGGCCATGAAGAAAAAGAAAATGTACGAGCAGCAGAGAGTCTCATTCTCAGGGGTTGGATCAATGTGTTGTAGCACGAGAAGGGTCGAGGGTTGCCTTATGTGGCTCGAGGATCAGCTGCTCAGTACGCAGCCTGGAACTCGGAGACAGTCGAAGGTGGTCCAGGTTTACAGGATGTGAGCCATTCGTTATGAAATAGTCTCTGAAGATGGGACAGATTTCTCATGATATGCCGGAAGGTGAGTTTCAGAGCAATCCTGAGTTGATTATCTGAAACGACGTCAGTTGAGAACGGCAGGTTAGCTGTCAGCCGTTTGCTGCACAGCGAATCGTTGCACTGCTACCTGCCTCTGTCGAGGTTTAACGTTGAGAACCTGGCATTCCAGCAGGAGCAGGCGGAGATCACGGCCATGGCGGCATTGCTGGCGTGAGTTGAGCTGCATGGCAAGTTCTCGCCCAAGCTCTCAAGTGGCTACGTGCATGGTCCTACGGCCAGGTGCAAGCTATGCAGACAGGTCACACGCAACTGAAGGACCCGAGTGACCAGAGTCCAGAAGAAGCGAGCCAAGGGCGGTGCATTGCGAGGATCAAGCCAAGCAGATGGACATCGCAGCGGTCGACAAGCTCACGGATGACATGGCAGATTTGCAGGATGAGAGCTGCCCTCAGAGTTCGCAGAGTTTCTGCAGGCGGAGAGCATCCGGCTCACCAGACCTCTTGCCGAGGATGAAAGCCATCAACGAGGCCCTCGCCCAAGGATCTATGGTGCCTGACGGGGCCACCGACGACGAGCTGGCCAACGACCGTAACTCAGAACGGGAATGCCGCTGTGAGACGTCGCAGCTTGAGAGAAGCAGCTTGGGGTTTGCCCAGGAGTTTGCCAAGCTCGAGGAGGAGCGAGGGCAACAAACGGAATAGCGTAGCGTACGGTAGGTCCCATCTACTGGCGAGCCTCATGTCCAGGAGATGGCTGCAACGGCCCTCGCTGGAGGGGCTCTCCCGGACTCGGGTGTCCCCGCGAGACCCCCGGCAGAATCTCAAGTCTGAAGGACCCAAGCATTCTCGCCGAGGCCAAAGCGGAGGGTGCGGCGGAAGTGGCTCCGGCACCCAGGGAGGCGGAGGCAGCTGCTGTGCCGAGTGCACCGCCGTGATCGCTTTCTGTCAAGTGGTACCTCTACATCCTTCGATCTTCATGATCTTCCATCTGCGATGCGGGTTAATTGCTCGTATGCCCGACAACATAGTTACCGGCACGACCTGCCGGCAATTATCCAGAGGGCACGTTTCACACAAGCAGCTATTTACAATTGACGGTCGCTCGTGTACAGATTAGCAGGTATCAGCACAGCTGCTCGAAGACTCCTGGCACAGCATTCTCAGTGGTGCTGTGCTTCCGACTCCGAAAGAATCTTGTATTCCATCCAAGTGCAACGGTCCCATCTATGTTGACGCCTGGTTGGTGAGCCCGTCGCCCCGCAGCATGACCTTGCAAACTTCAAGCGCACTTGCTGGCTCAAGCAGTCTGACCCCAAATTGCAACAGATCATCGTTTGTCTAGTGCATGGTTGCCCATGGGCATTTCGATCATTGCACCCTGTAGTGGGAAAAGTTGAATCCGTCAAATCTTCATGCACAGACTACTGGACGGGCAGAGTGCCGATGAGTCCCGGTGCCTGCAGCTCAACCGTGCAGCACATGCCGCAGCATTTGTGTTTATGCTATACCCAAACCGGATACTAAGGCAGTTCCAGAAAGTGCCGTGCACTCAGATGATCTTGACGGCCCCAGCTCATGCGACAACAAGCGCAAGTTGCAAGGATTCGCTGGATGCTGCCTCCCAGTTGGGCACACAAAGTCTTACTTCGGAGAGTTTGTGCTTGCAGTATGCCCTTCGACCTCACTGGCAGTTTCCTCCTAGCCCTTGAGGTTCGAGCCAAGTGTAGGGACTTGAATGCTGGCCTCGCATCGCATGGCCTTGACACTGCCCTCAGCCAGCGGTTCTTTGCGGTCCGCGCATCAGCACCGGGAGCCTCCGTCGGCATCTGTCCAACCGCTTTGGCAGACTGGGCGTGAGTTGAGCGAGCAGGCCTGCAAGCCGAGGTACCTCACGTTTCGAGGGTGTCCGGGCAAAACCTGCAATCGCAAGCGCGCCTACTGATTGCAATTCACTTCAGTCAGGCCGTGTCGGCTCTTGTGCTTGTACCCATGGCTTAAGCAGTGCCTGCAAGGCTTCAATAGTCAGAGAGCGCTTGCACTGGGTACTGCTCTTGTACCTCTGAAGCAATGAGATGCCTTTCCACCTCACGATGACCTGGGTGTGGCACTATGATCGGACCTCTGATAGGAACATATACGAACCTCCAAACAACAAGAAACAGCAAGGCGCATCGGAGCGAAACTGGTCGGGTTCGACTCCACGCAGAATGATTGCCTTAATCCTCGGTCCTTAGCATAGTCTCGGTTATTCATGTAGCAGACTGTATAGTCAGCATAGTCTTCCCGAATCGCTACTAGGTGCTGGCCCTAAGTC